CCCTGAGGGTGCCATTACATGGAGCGCGGAAACGCGGAAACGCGGAAACGCGGAAGAGAATAGTAATTAGATTCCCGCGTTCCGTTCGAATGCATAGTCGTCAGTAACTTCGTTGGCTTTCTCGTTCCGACTGTTGCGTTCATCCTGACGATTCTGTTGTGGACGGCCTTGTAGTAGTGGATTACTGCGCTGATTTCCGCGTCCCTTGTCCTGTTGTCGTTCCTTTTTCTCTCCATCGTGGTCATTGGATTTTCGGTCCCAGCATACTTTTGCTTGGTGTCCAGTCTTTTTGCATACGTAACATCTCTTCCCGGCGTTGCGTTTCCCATCTCTTGCTGCGTAGGCTGCGTCGTTGTTCTTCTTCTGGTTGGACAACTCTCTTTCTTCTTCTCTTAAGTCTTCTAATATGTCGTCAAGCCTCTTGTCTCGTTGTGTTTTGAGTGTATTTCTTATGCGGTTAAATTTACCGTTCAGACCTCTCACAACGTAATATACAAGCTCACGGTCCGAGATATTAACGCCCAGACCTTTGCATTTGGATGCCAGACCTCGTGCTCGTGCGATGTAATCCGCTCCTGTTTCCTTATCGCCCATTGATATGCTTCGTAGTTCGACTGTAGCGTCGATTTTTGAATCTTCGAGGCGCCCCACATAGGTTTCTTTGATTTTTGCCCACAGCTCCTTCGCGTTGATCTCGTCCACAAATTGCATGGCTTGGTCGTCGGATAAAGTTAGCTTTATAATAGATACGACATCCTCGTTGTCGCTATCCCATTTCTCACGTTCCTTGTCGCCCGTAGGTCTGTCCGTCGTGAGAACGTATTTCACCTTTTTCAGGCTTAATACTGCTTCTAATTTCATAGCCCAGACGTAATAATTCGTCGTTGTAAGTTGCGGAATGGAACTCATTGGTATCTTATCCATTTTTGCATGTGGCTTCTCTCGTTACCTTCTTCCTAACCCCTTTTCCGGCGTGGCCGCTTCCTACCTCGATTGCTGCTCGAAAATATTTCTACCGGCTTTTTCGCTCCTGTATTCACGGCAGCTTCTATCGATGTTCACGGTAACCACGCTCTGCTACCATTATTGTTGGGGTTAGTGAATTGAGGAATAACGATTGAAAGAAACACAGAGTGAATTTATTCGTGTTCTTTCTTAACGCCGTCTCGCCACAGAGTGAGTGTAGAGAACAAAGGATCTCATACATCTAGGGATAAAATAGTGACTCGCTAGTAGCTTGCCAACCTTAGCAGAGATGCGCAGTGCTTATATAAAGAAACTAAATTATCGCTCGTATAAACTTAAAATAAAAATACATCGGATTACGTTATAATTAATTGAGGAAAAGAAAATGACAAAGCGAATACGCAAAGTTCTACAGTTAAGACAAACGTATTTGTTAATACTTATACGAAGGACCAGAAAGATTTGGGTAATGAAGGACTTAATAATAAATTGTCTAAGAATCAACGAAATTAATAATGTGAAATATAACTCGTGTAATAATAGACTATAATGGAATATAGAACGTCACTAATAGATAATATAATAATAATGGAAAATAATAGAATAAGAACTTCACTAATATAGACAATATCATAATAATGGAAAATAATAGAATAAGAACTTCACTAATATAGACAATATAATAATATGGAAAATAATAGCATAAGAACGTCAAGCGACTATTGGGTGCGTCCCGTCGTTGGTATCCTCGTTCAGAAGGCGTAAACGCGATCGCGCACGGGACCTCGTCTTTGTCCGGACGTCGTCGAAATGGCGGACACCTATCTCCGTCGCACACGGGACCTCGCCTTTGTCCGGACGTCGTCGAAATGGCGGACACCTATCTTCGTCGCACACGGGGCCTCGCCTTTGTCTGGACGTCGTCGAAATGGCAGACGCCTATCTCCGTCGCACACGGGGCCTCGCCTTTGTTGGACGTCGTCGAAATGGCGGACACCTATCTCCGTCGCACACGGGGCCTCGTCGTTGTCTGGAAATCTAGAGATGCCGAGAGGATGAGCCCACGGGCGTGTCCTCGTTCGATCAAGAGACGATGGCACCCAAAAACAATGTCGCCGCTAGGGCACTGCCACAATGGCGGAGGAAGCCGCCCCCTTTTGCGTGAGAAGTTCTCTCGAACCTCTCCCCGTCGTAGCTGCCCTCAAGCGTTCGCTAGGAAGCGATCCAGGCAATGGCAAATGGGTTTTACCCCGTATGTCCTCCGTAGGAAGACCTGGAAGCTGCCCTCGAGCGTTCGCTAGGAAGCGACCCTGGCAATGGCAAATGGGTTTTACCCCATATGTCCTCCGTAGGAAGACCTGGAAGCTGCCCTCGGTTTGTCTCGTAGCTGTCGACTTCGTGAAGAGCCAAGAAAGGCACGTCCGTTCTCGAAGCGGTCACTCACTCGAAGGGCCAAGAAGAAGGCGGAAGCCGGCGATAAGCGCCCGGCCCCCTCTCCTCTTGCCCCGCTAGCGCCTCCGCGTATCCGGCGCGGTCGGTAATCTCGATACCGCGGAGTCGACGTCGGTAACGTCGTTTAGATCCGTAACAGTATTCCATAATTATATATTATATATTATATATTTCGTAATTATTTATTTTCACACAAAACACAGACATGAACAGTGTCTTCATCGTCAATTCCTGCGCAAGAGTTATGTGCCCATCGCGCACAAACAGCGCAACGAATCCATCCTTCGTCAGAATAATCACGACAGTAGAGGCACTGGTCATCTTTAACAACTTCGCTGTCGCTTGATCCTTCCTGAGTCACACGAGAAAATAAACTTCTAGTATTTTTTTTGTTGATCTCATTGACTTTGTCTTTGTTGCCTTTTTATGTTTGCTTGGCGCTGGAAATGATTTTCTCTTGGATGCTTTTTTATTTTTTTCGTATTTTCGTCCAACAGTTGTTTTTTGTAAGGGGATTCAGTTAAGATAGCCGTTTTTCCGCGTCGTTTTGAAGATTTCCTTCTCTTTGTCTGATCTACTTTTGGAATAGGCAAAACTTTTTCAGGGCTAGCAACTTCAAAAGTGGAACCAGTTGATGTTCCAGTAGTCAGAGACATAGACGTTGATGGCTGTGGAGTTGTTTGACATTGAGGTGTTAAGGCACCAGAGGTTGAAGGCTGAATGTGTTCACTTGAAGCTCGTTCTGTTACAACATCGTCAAGAGAAACTTGAATGTCGGTAGTTGCTGAGGGCATGAAATCATCTTCGGTGAAGACGTTAATATCAACTGGCCATATTCCACAGTTTCGGAACCCGTTCACTGCAGTGGTCATTGTTGCTGCTCGAATGTATGATGCACCAAATAGGGAAGCAATCTGATGCAAATGTGGGGGATTCTTTTCGGATGGCCAAATAAGTTGTGTAAACCTTCGCTCGGTGAAATATATTTAATCACTCATCAGGGCTCCCCACCTCCCGGCGCGCATCGCATGCGATCGCATCGCTCCGCACCAGGCTAACGGGCGATCCGGAATCAACCATTGCATCGACAATATACGTACATTTCTCGCTCGCGTTCTCGGGGGTGATTTTTACGCGTAACATATATGGCTTCGGCAGGTCCACCGGATGCACCACGTTCGTCGAAACAGCCGCCGCCGAGTCCCTCGCCGTCCCCGACGTCGAGGTCCGATCCCGCCTCGAGCATTCTCTCGCCAAATGCTCGGCCGACCCACACACATAGCACGTTCTTTTCGCGGGCCTGCACTGCGTCGCGACGTGCCCCGCTTCGCGACACCGGTAACATTTCACCGTCTTTTCTCTTGCCGCTGGTTCCGCTTTCCTGCCGCTCGCCGCCCCTGCCGCGGCCTTCCCGGCCCTGACGTTGCTCGATCTCCCGTCCTCTGGTCGAACTTTTTCAAAAGCTTTTAACAGCTCAGCTCCGGTCGTGTAGTTCATTAGACAGGCCTGATTCCTCAGTTGTACGTCGGTCACACCCTCGGTAAGATAATCGAGAATCTCGTTTTCCGCAACTGGTATGCGGTTGGCCAGAATCATTTTGTCGTGATAGTATTCGCAAAACGATTCGCCCTTCTTCCACACTCGTGCCTCGAATTCTCTTCTGAGGGCCAATTTACCGGGTTGAAGGTCAAACATTTGTCCCATCTTTATCAACAGGTCTTCCGTACCCAACGTGAGATATTCGGCACGTGAGTAGAACCACGATAGAGCTCGCCCTTTTAACCTTGAGCTAATCAGCATTCGCGTCGAACTCTCGTCCAGGTTGTACGACTGTCTCAGCAACTTCAGCTGTTGTTCCCACCTCCAGAAAGCGTTGTCTGTCCCGTCGAACTCCGGTAGCAAGTCTTTGATTCCACGGACGCCGCCCGGCATCGAACTCGTGCCACTCTCCGTCGTCGTACCTCTTACAGCAGGGGAGTTTCGCAACACCTCCAGTTCTCGCCTCCATAACTGTTGTTCTCTCTCTGCACAATCCCTCTCTCGTCGCAGAAGTTCAAGTTCTCGTCTCATCGCGTTTTCGCGTGCCTCCAAATCACACGCCGCGACAGTCTCAGGCTCTCCTCGCGCTCGCATTCCTTCGTCAGTCGTCCCCGCCCCGGACATCCCGTCGCCACCTTCCGCCAGGTGCACCCCCTCCGGGTCCGAATCCGTCCTTAAGGGAGCACCTTTCCTCTGCTCCTCTAACTCCTTCCACACGTCCGGGTTATGCTCGCTCAGCCGCTTGATAAGCTCGTTCTTCACTCCACTTGTAGGTAGCCCCCGTTCGCGGAGAGCTTCTTTCAACTTGGCCACCGTAAAGTCAGATCCCGGGACCGATTCCATTTCTTCGCGTTCCTGACGTTCAACTCCGAATCCCACTTCTGAAGCTGTGGGGGATTCTTTTCGGATGGCCAAATAAGTTGTGTAAACCTTCGCTCGGTGAAATATATTTAATCACTCGTCAGGGCAGTCGGTCGGGACTTCTGCTCTCGGTTACAATCTTAGGCGCGAGGGAAGACGACTCTGGCCTCTGCCCTGATCCAGCTCTTTATATCCTTTTCCTTGATTCTCCTACTCCTCGATAAGGAGCCAATCCTAATCGCTTACAAATGGGGGAGAGTGGTGAGCGCACTGACTCACCCCGACCTTTAGCATTCTCGAAAAGATAATGATCGTTCGGTCTAAACACGTTCGGCCAAAGCCGAAAGACAAATACAACCGGTAAACATTATCCCGGGCAAACATTGCCCGGGGTCGGCTTGGAATTAGTAACGTACGACAACGACTATCTCCTAACGGAATTATATAAAAAACGCCTACACAAAGTAACAACTCTTCCAGGATTTGTACGTAGCCATTTGCGAACTTCATCCTCGTAAAAGTTGCTCAAAGGTTTCATAAATGAAACGTCCAAAGGCTGAAGGCGGTGAGTGCAATGTGGTGGTAAACACAGCAGAATGACTCCGTTTTCTCTAGCCACATCAATCAATTCAATATTGTGTGTGTGTGTGTGTGTGTGTGTGTGTGATTTATGTCCATCGAATATGAGGAGTATTGGTTTCTCCTTTGATGCTGCAGTAAATGAAATAAACTTTCGAAACCAAGTCAAAAAAAGGTTAGTAGTGACCCACCCTGTGTCGGATCTTTCTGCTGTCGCGCCAGGGGGAAGCCCAGTTTGGAATCCCTGCTGCATTCGTTTTCTCGGAAAAATTAGCATCGGCGGTACGTAAGAACCAGCGGCCGAGAAACAAATAATAGCAGTCACAGTCTCACCTCTCTCTGCTGAAGTCACAGTGCCAACTTGTCGACGTCCCTTTAGTGCTATTTCTTTTGAATGGCCTTTTGGATTTGAAGTCAAACCGGTTTCATCAACATTAAAAATCACATCGGGAGTCAGGTTATGAGTATCGACTTGCTTAGTAAGAATATCAAAAAGTTGCTGAACAGCGACCTTGTTAAAGCCCATCGCCCGTGCTGCTGAGGTTGCTTCTGGTTTTCTTACAGTTAGAGTAGGGTTGTGAGCCAGAAATCCTTTCACTCCAGCTGTAGAGTCATTTGTATTGAACAAGTGCTTGATTTTATTTATTTCGGCTAATTGAAATGCAACGCGACAAATTTCCTTAAGTGTTAGACCAAATAACTGGCGTTCCATTGTTGTTGGATAATTCACCAGTTCGGCCTCCTGTTCCTTATTAAAAATACACGAATACGCTCCTAAGACTTTTTTTACTGAATAATCTGCATTCTTTCGTTTTTTCGCAACATGACGTTCTAAAGTCGTCTGAGGCACATTAAATTGACGAGCAGCTTTGTAGTAGCCCATGGATCCGCATAAAACTGCTTCTACAGCTTCTTGCATTGACTGCACCACTGCACGTGGGGGAGAGGGGATAAAGGGGATACCCCGTTTTACCTCAGTACCCCGTTTTGCCCCACCTTCCCCTACGTCTGATTGTTTACGAGTCCCTTATTTTTTTAATGAACCCTTGGACCCTTAATATTTTATAGTGCCAGCGCAATCTTTAAATTCTTCAATTTCTGAGAATTGTAAAAATTCTAAAGCAGCAGCAATTGATGAACTTCAAGTTTGTGCTGCGAGCTTTATTTTCATAATATTGGTTTTAAAATTGATATGTGCAGAACTAAGTTTATTTAAACTTTTAAATTTAATTCCTGTTGAAGCTTATATAAATTTGTTATACAGGG